ACTACAGACAGACAGACGGACAGATGAAAGCCGGGGACAAAATAAGGTCATCTATTGAAAGGGTACTAGAATAAATAACTCAAGTTTTTTATAGTATTCTATATATCACTCATCCCCACGCTCTGTTCCTAGGGCCATGCGTGTTACAGGTATAGAAAGAATGCAGATATAGCACATGTTATATCTGGGGGTGGATACGGTATTTGAAATGAGGGTGTGTGTGAATTGCGTTCAAGGAAGGGTTCAGGGGACTACCTGTAGGCCCCCAGGTCGGTCGAGGGAACAAAGCCCCTGGAAGATCCTGGCTTTTCGTGTAAAGTAATGTACAAACATTGTGAAATTGGTAAGATATGTTTCAAAGTATGACAATAATAATATAAATCATATAAAGCCTACTTTCAAAATTTCTGAAAGGGGGGGGGGGGGGGGGGGGGGGGGGGGGGGCACACACACGCTTTACATCTGCTTGTAATATCAATCAAGCACCTTTCAAGGTGAATGAGTGGAATTCAAAAGCACAGGTATAACGAAAAATGAACCTAAAATACTGCAGCTATCTGGTAAAAATAACTTATCTTGATATGATTTTGATTGCTTGGGTATATCATACACTTATCCACTGGTTGTGAGTGGGATAGTTCTTTTATCTAACCCGCGACAGGGAACTATTCCCGAGGGTTTGCCCATGGGGAATAGTTCCTGTCAAGGGTTTGATAAAAGAGCTATCCCACTCAAAACCTGTGGATGTCTTTTATCATACTGATGTATATCATTATTTCCGAGTTTTGATTTATTTTGACTAAGATAATACTGCAAGAATGAGCTGAAATCCTGTTGACGTCATAATGCTACTGAAGTCATTATGACATCATGAGTCTATAGATTTATTGCTGGAAATCAAAATAAGCGGCAAATATTGCATGAAAATTTTTCGAGGGGTGGGTAGCAAAAACTATACCCTGGGGTATGGCTTTCTATGCGTGGAAATTTTCAGACTATAACAGATAAATATTTTACCTTCTTAACTTTATATAGCAAACATTTCAACAGAAGTATAATAATCTAAAGAGCATGATTTATATGTAAGCATAGGAGTTCTAATGAATCAGTAAAATGAAATAATTTGAAATTCAGAGATTTAACAGTTCTAAATGCAGGCATATGTGTTAAACAAGAAATTGGAGATACCGTAGTTAAAAAAAAATTATTACTTTGAAATCAACACAAGGGGTAGCTTTTAATTCCCATTAGATTTTGCTAGATAACAGATGCTGTGTGAAATAGAAATGTCTTTAATTAAGGTATGACCTGTACTCCTTATCCCAAACATCAAATCTTAATTACTATAATATTTAATTACAACGTACCATTACTTTATGAGATATGCTTAGTCAGTTGTTGTTGAAAACGAAGTAAATTTGCAATAAAATGAGGTTTAATAATTCAGGGTAATTTCAACATAAGTATGATTGTGTTACAATTTTACATAAAGGTGGGGGGGGGGGGACAGGAAAACTCTCCTCATCTATATTTGTTAGGAGACTTTTGCTCCCGTGGTGCTCCTGTGAACACGCCTATGTATACGAAACGTACAGATAAATACTCTTCGCGGATTATAAAGCCCAAACTGATCCAAACCAGATTATTATACCTCATTATAAATATTCTTTTCAACGCGATATTTGATCTAGACCATTACGTGACTCAGGCCATAGAACTTCATATTTCATGGTCTTCGGCACGCTTTTCATCATACTCCATCTCCTCGGAACACTTAGTGTGTTTTCCCGATTGGTTGGTTAAGGTCACAATAGCATGGTATGCATCCCAAAATATCTGACTATTTGATCGGATTTTGGTGTGACAAAAAATTGAGTAATGAAGGAGATATTATATAGTGTCGAATTTTAAATTTTATGTATAATTTGAAACACGATTTTGCTTGTTTCGGTATAAAAAAGCTATTCATTGCACGAATGTTAGAGAAACATGAATATTTATTCAGCCAAGAAATATAATATCCCCCTCGGGCGATGAAAATTTTCAACTGATGACGTCATATGTGTACATCATGTAGTTTGGGGATTGATCATGTTTTGTAAAGAGAATTTGGCTAAGACAGTATGTACAAAGATACGTAAAATGGAGTTTAAAAGAAAATATCTTGAGTATTGTGTGAAATTCATTTGGGGTTCAGGTAATTAAAAGTGTACTTTTTTTATCGATTATACTCATTTTCGAAGACATTCAGCTATAAACGTATCCTGGTCGGCCTTTTCTCTGTAATTCGTTATAAAAATAATGCAACAAGATAACAATAATCTGGATATTTCAAAATATAAGATTTGCACATATGGAAGGTTTGCCTTCTTAAATAATTGGAAAGTGCTGAAAGCATTCCCATTTAAGCATTGTTTTACGAGATATCTCTAGTTCATATGTACAAAATAAAAAAAAAATGATAAGGTTTCGTGCAAAATTGTGAAATACGTATTTTACTGACAGAACAGTGGGATTAAAGCAGCCCTTTTTGGGAAAAATGGATGTTTTTTGACTATATATTATTTAATAAAAGAAATTGTTATACTCCGGGGTATTGCTGTTATGTTAGCTTTCTCATTATGAAACATTTCCCTATTAAAAGTTGTCACTTGATGTCGTGTCATTGTATTAAACACTCTTTAATGAAATGAACAAAGATGTTAAAAAGTTCTCTGGGAATGAACTTTTTGTTGGAATCGTGATCAAATCCTGCTTTTCAGTAGATTTGATCACGTACAAACTTAAAATTCATTTAAGTTTGTCAACTTGTTAACATTGATGTTTATTAATAATATTTACATTTGAGACGAATACATTCCGAATAAAACTGCATTTATTACTGAAACGGACAGCCGTATAGCTACAGTGTATGTTGTGACGCGCAATGACCTAGGACCAGTAGGTTCCTAGAAATTGTTTGGATTTTAGGTACGTGTCGCTCCAACATTTGAATATTTACAATGATGTTCAGCAGTCCAGTTCAGTAATTCAATGTTTATAATCTAAGAACAATGATTTCTACTGAAAATAATCTTACTATTTTGAGTTTTTAAGATATTTGAATTCAAACGCGGTGATATTCCCTGTTTCAGTTTAACTTCAAAAGAACTTCGGGTTAAATAGGTAAGTCCTATTTTATCTGTAATTATGGTGTCTCGTTTAAAGTCGTCATTTCGTAAGTTCAATGGTCGATACAATGACTTTGTCAGCAAATGCAAATTACCATTGAGTCAAATGCTGACTGACGTTTTTCAAACTAATTGTTAGTCCATTATTTATACACTGAATTTACGACAAATTTTTCCGTTATGTCCTGATCATGACAAGGAGCACACAGCGGGTGTGACCGGTTAGCAGGGGCTGTTTACTCCTCCATGGCACCTGATCCCACTTCTGATGTTTGGAGGTCCGTGATTGCTCTGCTCATGTTTTGTATTGTTTGATGGACTTTGAGATTGAATACTGTTCCTTATTTCCACATCCTTCATTTAAACTATTTTTTCACACAAAAGGAAGATCTATTGAACATCTGTTGAATAAAATTGTCTATATGTGTCAGTTACATGTATTGAATCTTTTTGATAGCTTTTAACCTGGTAGTTTATAAAACAAGACAGAAATATATGTAAACAAGCAGCTCGCCGACCGATTCCGTCGTGCTATAACTCCTGACCCCAATATACAGTTCACACATAATTGAACATTTTTTCTCTTCAATACGTTCATCTAAGAAAGATATATTGCAAATGTAACTATTAATATCTAGACAATAGTTAATTATAGTTAACTTTTTTCAGTGGCTTTGGTAAATTATGAAGATTAATTTTATTTTTAAAAGTCTAAATATCCGGAGAAATAATGTATATGCTTCCTTAAGGGTCCTCCACACCATGTGACTTGTGACGTACAGAACATAGAGAAAAAATACCTTTACTTCCGGTTTCATCGAGTTTCTGCAAGGAGTTGGCCTGGGACCGTTTGTAATAGAGTCTTACAAACGAAAAGTTTGCAGTACACTGAGAGCAAAACCTAATCATAAACAATGAACGAGTGGCCGATGGGAAAAAAAAGATATGCGGATTTTTTAAAATAAAAGAACAACAGACATGGGATTATGTTACATACATGTAATAATTCGTTAACAACAGACACCGGCACATGTATGACGAGAAACGTTTAGGTTATTTATACTTTCAGGCTAATCAGTCTGTTTTAATAGTTGAAATTTTGGCACACTAAAATTTGTGCGTTTCAATTATACATCATCTCATTGTGTTTTTATAAATATTGATTTATAAAATAGTGTGCGTTTCTAGTTTTCCCCTTTTATATCTGTCCAGTTCAGTGGCCAGTAATTATTAAATATAGTATGGTGACGTATGCGGAGATTTGCCAAAGTTTTTGAGTCCTTGGCAACAGGAAAGATAACTCGAAAAAGGAACTTTGATACCAAAAATTTTGAAAATATTTTTTTCATTCCATCAATGCATTAAATTTTAATTCAATTTTTTGATGTAATCAAATTCATTTAAGTTTCTTCTATATAAAAGGCATCCTTATTGATTTTTCTCGATATGTTTTTAGAGAATTTTAGTTTTATGTAATTTTTGTAAATAAAAAGGTATGAAAACGGCTTGGTAAAAAATTCTTGAAACTTGTGAAATAATTATTTTAAAAAATCAGTATGAATTACATTTTAATCCCTGGACAGTTTTTAAAGATTGTTATGCTGGTTAAAAGTAATGCTCAATAATATGAGAACATAAGCTGTGGGTGTGTGGAGAATACTAAACATGCCCGCGATGTAATTTGTTTTTATAAAATTTACAAGAGCCTGTCTGGTATAATGTTATTCATTTCATGGACCTTGATCAACTTTAATATTGAGATCAGCATTTGTGTTCATTTGCAAATGTTCTCTCTATTTTACTTTAACATAAACGTCCGTTTTCTGTATTTTACATAGTACCCACCCCCATTTTGAACCATAAAATGAGTAAGTATTCCAAATATCCCACAATGTCAAGACGAAGTGCGTGCACTGTTTGCTTTATTAACTCACCACGATATTTAAAATCAAAAATGACATCTTCATCACTATAGACTCCCTCTTTTTCTTCTTCAGTACTTAAACTTTCTTCGCCATTCTCTGTTTCCTCTAGTTTACTATCGACACAAGTCTCTGTAACAACATGCCCTCTTTTTTTGTGTTCACTATAAACTACAGTTTCATTGATTTTCTGCTCTATTCCCTTTGGTTCATTATTTACACCAGTCTTTCGGACATCATGCTTTTTCTGCTCTATTTCAGTATTTATATCCGTCTTTTTGACATCAGGAATTTTCTTCTGTGGTTTGGTTTTGACATGGATCTCTGCAATACCTTTGTCTCTTTCCTTTGGTTTAATTTTAGCTACAGCATCTGTGAAATCCTCAGTTTCACTATGGATATGAACGTCGGAGACATCTTTAGAATTTCCCTGTTGTTCAGGCTCCACAGATGTTTCTTGTCCATTCATCGTTTCTTGATAAATAAAGCAAATATTCAGTTCAATTGATATTTCTAAACTATTCTGTAAATGAATGAATTTATCTAAAAGAATGTTAATTGTTTTCCATATTCACTTTAAAGTTGATCTTTGAATATATTCCTATTTTGATGTGAATGAAATCTCTTATTAATCTTCAATTTCTAAAATAATCATATTTAAAGTACATTTGTATTTATATTAAAGTTTTAAAAATCAGATAATCGTATAAGGCATCATTACCATCGTTAGTATGTGTATGTGACAGCAATGGTTGTCTTTGATCTGGTAACATAGAAATATTCTCTCCTTGGTGTATACTGATCTCCACGTTTTCTAAAAAGCAGTTATGTGTAATTACAAAAAAGGAAAATTTCAATTATTTATTATGATTTTTCCATTTAACATATTTCAGGAATCAGTGTGTAGTTACATGTAGTATAGTATGGCAGGGCATTAACGATAGAGGGTAATATGGGATAATATATGCACAACGGGGAAATCCTCTAATGTTCGACCTTTATGCATAAATCATCCCATGTTTCCCACTATCGTCAATCAAAAAAAAAAAAAATAAAAGAATGAAAAGCGTTTTATTTTTTAAAGACTATAGTAATCTAAATCGATTAAATCGATGAAGCACATAAGGACGTTATCGTTATTGCTAGAGATTATTTGATCCCGAGCATGCAACAGGTCAATGGGATGTTAATGTTCGAATTACCAAATTTATATTTGATATATAAACATATGTATTATAGATTTGAAAGTTTTTAAATGTCGTAGTGTTACTACATGAGGACTTCAGAAGATACCTGAAATAAGTCCGTGTTTGTTGCCTTTCTGTTTCATTTTCCATTTCCAAATAACGCCGGCCAGTACCACAAGAAATATTAACACAACAGCAGCAGCCAGGCCGCCAACAATGACCCCTGTAGAGTTGTGTTCCTCCTGCGATAGGATGTTTTCAAGAATATTGATTGTTGAGTTGTAGCTACTACGGATTGTTGATAAGCCAAGTGTAGATATTTCTGTAGTGCCTCTGGTAGTAACAGCATTTGCTGTGCTGTACAAACAGGACGAATGAAAAAGTAAATAAAATAAGTCGCATAAAAGATATCGAATTGTCCTAAACTTCACTTGTCTTTTTGTTCTTCCATAGCGTTCAAGTAGAAAATTAAACGTTTGGCATTTTAAGCGAAAGGGGTTTGAGATCGTTGAAATTGAATATCTCTAAACTAACTACACTGTACATGTATTTATTCAAAATATATTGTACATGTTTTGTCATCTTTCTAACCATTCGGGAAAATATTACCTTTAATTAGATTGATTTACGGGAAGATATTTCAAAACATTAATCTTTCAAAATTAAATGTAATAAAATATTAATTTTATTCGAATGAGGAAATATGCAATGTATCACTCTCACAGTTAAAGTTTATTTTTTTTTTTGGCCTCGTCTTTTCCCGATGGTAATTTTGTGGCTACCTCTTGACCTCACATACATTTAAAAACAAATAATATAAAGTAATTTTTTAACCTCGATTGTAAATTAGTAATTCAAGCAATCTTGAATTTGCATAGCATAGAAATAGTATCTACATTAACTTAGTAATGTCCTGTTGCACGTACAATATATGTAACACAAATTGAAGATAAGAATCAGTTACATGTATCTACCCCAGTACAAAAAGTATACAGAACAAACTAGAATCAATATTTTGACTGTTTGTGTACGTATAGAATGATACCCCATCATTTCTTGTTGCTGAAAGTATATACGAATTCGATATTTTGGAGAAGTTATAAAAATTAAATATCTAAGGAAAAATCAACAGGCGGAGAATAAACTTTGGATAAAATACTTAAACCGTTTGATGGCGCTGGGTTTCTTTTATGTACAGTTTGATTAGACTTAGTATTGTTAAAGCTGACATAAATTCTTAAAAACTCAACATTTTCATCTATGTACGACTTGTTTCATACCAACTATAGCCGTATACCGCCATATTTCTTTCAGATACATGGTCTTATTGTAACGATATGTACCCCAATGCGCTCGTTACATTTAAATGACTTTTTGGCTTGGCTATCGACTTGTGCACATCCCCGATGGTAAAGCTTTTGAGAACACAGGAGTTGATCAAGACATTTCAAAGCTACAATAAACAGCATAATATTCATATTTCTGAATAATTATATTGATTTGAATCAAATGTAATAAAGAAAAAGAAAGAAATGCATTTTTACCTTGTGCCAATTTATGCAGAATATACTTGAAATAAAAAGCAGTAAAATCCGTAAACACACTTTGAAATTATTATCATCCATATGGAACAAAACAACCAGCATCTTTTGATTTGCAGTACGTCTTATGCAGTTGATAAATGTCGAGAAAACGCGTCAAACACATCCATACCTGGTAATAAGATCACTTAATCGGTTCGGAGATGTGCATAAATCAAGTAATATACACCCTGAATTCCATTTATTGAAATATGCATCACAAAAAAGAAATAATCTCCATAAAATTCGATGGTACTTGTAAACTACTCCGTTCAGTCTAGCACGTCGATACACTTCGTCCGTGCTGATCAAATTTTTATCAGGGGAAATATCACAAGTGCATTTGGTATTTGCGCGGCTGAAAGGGGGGTTGGAACTAAAGTATTATAAATGCTGTTCATAAGGTATACTGAAAATTGTCTATCTAGTTCTAATTAAAATTTTGTATATAGTCTGCGGTTGTTTTGCATCGCAAATTTCATTTCTCAATTTAAACTGATTATTTTAATACTAATCTCATATCTAAACCAAGTAATTTGATATACAAGAATTATTGAGGTCAAGAGTTAAAAGCATTTCACCAGAATACATATTTTTTTGTGTACATCTGTACGTTCTTTTACACACAAACGGAGAAAAACCATCCCTTGTTTAGATTGGCATATAGGCATTTGTATTTATAAGCGGAGAGGGAGAGAAATAATTGACGTGACCGCTGTCAAAATATTCTTGGAAGACAAACATCACTGCCAAATCTTTTCTCAGAATTTTAATGTCTCACTCCGACCACAAAGTATACACATTTTGAGGAATATGGCTTTTATAATTATGTAGTTACAGCTGTACAGGAAGTCTTTCGAGATTTCAGTATGCCTGCCTGACAGTCTAGCCTTTTCTTTTTCTATAAAAAAAATTGTAGGAACATTGGGGAGATAATTTCAAAAGCTAGTGTAGGGATACTGGAAACCTGGTTGAATACGAATTATTTTTATTCACTCTTTTGTACATTGAACTCGATTAATTCTCTCTCTCTCTCTCTCTCTCTCTCTCTCTCTCTCTCTTGTAACCATCCGTTAGCGGAATAATAGGAATAAAATCATACGCACTTTCTGTTGTATCCCATTTATAAGCCTTTGGGAAAGAACAAGGATTTTACCAGGCGGGGATGTCAAAACTTGTTAAAAAATTGGAATAATATTTTTACTTTTGAAAAGAAAAAAACCCAAACGCCCAAATTGAAAATGAAGTAAATATGAAATCAACATCACAGGAATGTGAACATTGGGATCTTTACCTTCTCAGGTAAGGAATCTGGACAAAAATTATTTAGACCAGAGGTATAAAAAAACTGATTTTAGGAAGAATATGGATTTCTCACCGGCAGTTTGCTGTCCCTTCCTATATACATGTAAATGCTTTGACTATTATATAATCATTAATATTATGTCAAGAAATATAATTCACATTCAATTATATTTTGATCATTCATATACCACAGAATCAAACTCGTTTATTATACCCCACGTAACAAGTTGTTGGAGGTATTATGTTTTTCGACCCGTCAGTCAGTTAGTGTGTCAGTCAGTCCACCAGTCCTATTTTTTTGTCAGCGCAGCTCTTCATGAAGTGCATCACAGAATTTGGTCAAACTTTGTACATATTTAGGACACAATGTGTAGATTTGCACATTACCAGGAAATTCAGATTACTTTATTTTTCTGGGAATTTCGACACTTTTCAGATTTTTGCCATGTTTTGAATATAGAGATGAACAGTTTGTCATCGCAACTCCTCAAAAACCGCTACACCGATTTTTTTTTCAGATTTTGCAGACATTCAGGACACAATATGTAGATGTACATCAGGTAATTCCTATTCCCGTATTTTTTCGGGATTTTTGGCACTGACTGTGGGGGAGTGGAGGTATGTGAGCTTGCTTACTTTTTCTTTCATTGTATATAAAATTATGAATAACTTTCAATCAAGTTATATTATGTCTTTATTTAAAGAAAATATAAAGTCAGTGCATTCTATAAATTTGAAAACAATTGATAGTAAAGGAATCCGATCTTTTTTTTAATTCATTTACATATCCACCCACCCCCCTTTCACATGAAAATCTATTCAAAGGATGAAAGATTCGTAATGATGCATGATATATGATAATTTGATGTAGTTAAGCCATGTTTATATATTTTATTTACATTTATATATACAGATAACAGTACTATTTTTTTAAAACAAATTATTTGCATTTTTTAAATCAACCAGTGAGTTTTCCACCTTTGAATTTTTCCCTGACCACATAAACTGATCGGCATCAGTGTCCAAGTGCTATGTGGTGAAATTTTTTTTACTGATGAGTAAGCAATGATTTATATGACTTCTGAGATGCATATTTCAATAAAAGTAAAATAGGATATTTCTTTTGACATGTGCACATCCCTGTAACAAGAGCAGTATCCAGGTAAATGTTATATAACTGCATTTCGATGTGTTTTCTCGATATGCATGCGTGCATATCCATAGTTTTTTATGGAATCCGGATGGGGCCACGCAGTTCACTATCGCATCATCGCACCATCGAGATGTGAGTCGATGGTACGATGTCGCGATAATGCGATGACGATGGCGCGATGGTGCGATAACGATGAAGCGATATCATGACGCGATAGCGCGATGACGATGGATTCCATAGTTTTTGCTACATACATGAATGTATTTCTTTTTTTGTGCTTTTTCTATATTGCAGCATATGCATTCAAAAATAATTTACTTCTCAATATGCTAGTTCTAGTTTTTTTGGATTTTTACTTTTCAAACATGTGTTTGGCAAGTTTTTGGATTTCTAAAAATTATGCTATCGGAAATGTGTACATGTCGACAGGCTAGAAAATCACTTAAGTGAAACAAATGAACCAGGCTTTATATAGCACGTACAGGTTGTCAAAATATCTCGAAAAAATATAGCGGAATCGAAGAAATATGGCGGACATGGGCGTGCAGGAATTTAGCAAGTCGTACAAAGATTAAAAATGATGCCTTTTGAAGAGTCCATGTCAGCTTTAAACTATCTTTTGTATCGTGTAATGAGTCAACAGTAGGTTGTTACAGTATAGAACATTTCATATAGACTATAGTTAGTCAATTAACAAATGCATATAAAAGTTTCAAGTAAGTAAAGGAGTACATATGATAAGAGCCAATTTTGGCCCCCTAAAAAGCTATATTTTAGAATTACATTCAGATATGATTGATATTTACGTATTCTTAAGAAGGGATTATATTAGAAATATTTCTAATTTAATTATCACATTTATATGCACTCTCTAGCTGTAAATGACATGAGAAATAATGCTATTTTTGCTATTTTTAAAAAAAGTAAAAATTTTAAATTTTTTTTTTTTTTTTTTTTTGGGAAACATAGAGCACAATGTAGAACATACACAATTTTTCTATAACTAATCAGTTTTGGATAGATACATCTTTGGTAAAAATATAAAGCTTGTTCCAGTCTGCACTCTATATTTTCTGGAAGAAAAAATCTTATTGAAAATATGCAGTATTATACAAGTGAAATACGGGAAAAAGTGATTTTTATGATGTCATATTTCTAAAATATCGGCATTTTGATCAAAATGAAAATGACCAATAAAGGTCGCATATACGAGGGTAGTCCCAAAATTCCGTAGACAAGCGTTGTTTTGTAGGAACCCTATATCATACATTAATGAAACTTCGTATATAAGTTTAACCAACACTATTTGATAAATTTAT